TAGGAAGGTAGCCACCATAGTGCGGAAACGTGGTACGCAAGTCTGGGTTGAGCCGATTAGAGTGAAGGCTGAAAGCTTCTGCAAACATAATCAGGTGATTGCCTCTCCTAATAGAGCGAGGCTAGTCGACGTTGTTGTTATTACTGGTGGTAGTATGGAGGCTATGTGAGGCGAGAAAGTTCGGAGGTAAGATACTTTATACATGAAAGAAGAAGCACTTAGCCTAGCTCTGCCTGATGTGTAGATAAGGCCCGCTGTCGAGCATATACCGATTAACTTTACGTTGCCTGGGTGCATGTACACGTGTTCAACAGTTGGGATCCGGAGAATAAGTTACACAGTGCATGAAATGTCGAACTTGTTCCTGACTCTGAAACAAGGTTCACTGGCACGCTACGATATTTATATGCGTGGTACAGGTAGACATGTTGTGGTGTATAGTGCTGACAATGTGTACGCAGTGGATGTATGTTTCGAAATGAAGCCACAGATACCAGCTGATTGTATGAAGATTGGAAACCGTTCGCGGGAGATAATCGTCGATGGACTTTCTGGATTAGAACAAAGGCTCCACCGCTCTTGAATAACCTGGTACGGGGGAAAAAAGCATCAGCAGCACGCCGGTACGAAGTACCGACGCTTCGCTGCCGTACAACCATCACCAGTTGCGCGTGGACTAAGGATGCTACGAGGGTAGCCCGGTCCCCAACGAAGGATCGAAACCGCGACCTGAGTACAAAGCAGGCTCGTGATCTTTATAGCCACGGTTCTCTTACCCATTCTGATACTTTTCTTTCGTTGGCCACGAATGCGCCGATCTCCCGTGTTTGACGAGCACAGTTTCCTTATCAATGATTCAGTATATACGCAATATAAGTAACCCACTGGTATATATTATGACCGAAATGTGTGGTCTAGCTATGGGCCTGGGCACTATTATGGGGAAAAAATAAGAGGACCGAAATGGGTATGAGAGTCGCCCAGTATGAGCAGATATATGAAAGGTGCATGACTATTATATGAAAGGCATATGTGAATAATGTGCCTCACGCTAAGGTTGAGGTTGCATCCATGATGTTTCTTCACCACAGTTAGGCTTAACCAAGTTACACAAAATCTTAATCTGGATCAAAGTCATTCCACTCTATTTAGTTTGTTTAGTTTCTACTGCATGTGATGTCTCAATTTTGCGTGTTTGCTTTCCCTCTAATTCCATGTTGGTTGTTTGATATCCACGGTGCGGCTGCACTTGACGTGAACGTTGACAAGGTGCCTACCTGTCTAACACCCTCCACCTGGATCACTGGCTCTAGGAGACTGAGAACCGGTTGGGGAGGAAGGGATGAACGGGGTGCACGGTCCTCGTGGCTGTGCTAGACTCAAAAAGTGGTTCCATCCAGTGTGCAGCGGAATACGGCCCAGCCACCGCGTTGTGTAGGTCTGGTACGTATGATTCCCTACATAGATAGACAGGAATGCTGCCGCTGATGTGCATGTTGAAGGAGTGTGGACCGGTTCCGTTGATGAAACGTGGCTCCCATCCACATGCCTCGCAGTTTTATCTCTTCGGGTTTACACTGGATATGGGGTATGTGGATGGAGTTGTGGGTGGTGCAGCGAAAGCCACCCACGGTCGCTCTGTAGGCGCAGGCGTCCTGTGGCTTTCCCCGTGGAGGCCGCAGTGACAGGTGAATCCGAAACCGGATGCCGCCAACCAAGCATAGGTGAATAATATACGAATGATAACAATGAGAGAGTGGATGTTCACCAGAGCCCGGAAGTGCGGGTGAAAGCATTGTTGAACTGGCTCGCACGGAAGTCGGTTCCCGGATAACGGTTGCATGGATGGCCGTATCCCCTCTTCTTCTTCTTCTTATGCTTTTGCTTTTTCTTCTTCTGCTTAATTCTTTGGTGTGTTTGTTATTCTGCTTAGAATCTGGTCTTCCAAGGTTGTCCAAAATGAAGTTTACGATAGTTACTCACAAAACAAATAATTGTGCTTTAGTACTTTGGCACGAGACTGATCGAGAGCCGATGTAAAGTCGAGCATCGACAAGTGTGCGGGCATCAGTGGGATTTCATCATTGCACCAGGGTGGGGCAACGCCAAAACCACGTTGGATGCTTGGAACTGGAAAAGTCTCACAGTAAAACCGATGTTTTTGCCACGTGTTAAAGTGTCGGCCAGTTCGGAGGGAAGAAACAACTCCAATTGGGACACTATCCAGAGAGAACGCTAAGTGTCAGAGAATTTTGGAAAGTTGTGGAACTAACAGTTCTATATGATCTCGGATAATTCCAACCGAAAGTATGAGATAAGAAGTTGATGACGAGATAGCCCGCGGGACGAAAAAATGCGACAACTGTCGACAATGTAATAAATTGAAAGGTAACAACAGGTCCAAGAAAAACGCTGTCTGGAAACTGTCCCCACCCCAACGACCCATTCAGATCGATGAACATTGATTTCACAAGAGGCAGCAGAGGTGTATGGGGTTTAAACAGCATGTCACGCGACAGGAGTTAAGTAAAACGTCAAAACCTCGACAAACGAAACAAATTTAAACCAGTGCAGAACAAGCATCAACTGGCACCTCGGTCCGCGGTGTGTAAAATGGGTTAGGGTGAATCAGTAGGAATCCACTGCGGTCGATGGGCGGCGACCTTACTATTGCAGCGAATGTGAGTTGTTGGAAGGCCGCAAACGGTAGTGAGCTGCGTAGTAGCATTCAGGATTGGTTGAACATAATCGGGATGAAATTCAGAAGGCGGAGAATGAAAAAACGTTACCCTTTCGATCATGTGCTTGCATAATGTTGAGCGACAAAGAAGAGGGAAATATAATTATGACAAACCCATGGAAGTTAAAAACAGTTATAATAACGTCAAAGCAAGGTGGAGCAGTAATTTTGAAGCACTTGTTGCGCGAATGGATTGCGACGCGCAATCGCAATTGCAAAGTGAACATTGGTTTTCCGGTGGGCAACACCTTATGCTAATTTGTTTTAACAGTTACAGTCTAAGAGATGAAGGTTCACTTCTTTTCAAAAAACTTGGTAGACGACCGGTTAATGTATTTATGGTGATAGACACCGTTTCGCTTTTGACACAAAAGCTTCATCAGACCCACTTCATCAGGTTCACTTCTCTGTGAATAATTACGGTCTCTACACTGAGATTGCGACGCGCCATCTATCCACAAACGATTGCTTCAAAGTGACCCCCATGCAGAGCAATCATTAATCGTTGTGACAGGTATTGCTCGTCGTACACTCGGTGGGGTAGAGGTTTAGGATGACATCACAAAAATCTCGACTTCGAGTATCTGCAACCTCGCTACCTGATGAGAGCAAACAAGTTCAAAACCGGTCGTGGAGTGTAGTGGTTTCGGGTGGACAACACCCAATATCCATCTATCCTGCATCGTGAAGGCCTCCAGGTTGTGGGAGGAGGTGTCTCCTATGCAGACGCAGATGTGAACAAACATCAACCGCTTTGTATTACTGGTGCTGGAGACAATCAGTGGGTGCGAAACGGAGTGAGGAGAACCGATCTGACCGAATATTGTTTTAATGGGAAGCGGTGTCGAAGTTCATAGGAGCCATAATGAGTTACCAAAGCATCAGGGAGTTGAACTCAGTGGGTTGCGAACAAACGATTGTAGAAGGCAAACGCTCTACGGGGGAAAACTGCTCGAAGTACCACTGCGTGTGATCCATTGATGATCTAGTGGAAATCAGTACGGTCAAGATGTGGTCACCGGCTCTAAACGGCCCGTGCAGATGTGTAGTGCAGGTTGAATTACCCAACACAGAATTTTGGATGGAGTCGCCGGTTAATCCTGTTCTCCGGCATGAGACATCGAAGAGTACTATGTTCAATTAATAAACGGATACGCTGGCTCCTGTTTACTGTCAAAACTGTTCAAGAAAGTTGCTTCGGATTGGGCAGTCGGCAGCCAGGTCGGAAACTCGATGCTACCCATTGCCTCATAAATTATTCCCAAGCTGCTCAACTTCAGCATACCTGGTGACCGCTTCATATTGCTGTACTGCTGACAACACACCCAGGGTAAGTAAGGTAACTGGTAACAACGAGTGACCATGAGCCCAATGTATGCGGCCCGAAGTGTTCGTGGGCGCTCGTTGATGGCACAGTCCCAGTGCACGCAAATATACCGTGAAGCGAACAAGCAGCCAATCAAGTTCGTTTAAAACTACAGTATTACGCTACGCAATAAGACAAAACCAGGCAGATGGAGGAGGGGAGCGAAGAAGTATGCTGAAAATGCAGGAGCCTACCAAAACATTTGGACAGGAAATTACAATGGCGAAAAGCTTCAAGCTCATGAATTCCAATGGGTGAGCTAAACAAGATGTCAATGCCATCTGACGCTCTTGAAAACGATATAAGCACATTCTGTAAAAAAGGTCCAGACAATATCAAATCGCTCAAGTAGTGGAGTAGTATGGAATGCGGGGTAAAGTTTCAATAAAAACAGTGACCAGATAGATGACCCAAGGATAGCCCTCGCTTGAAGAGCCCTACAAGAAGGAGTGTGACAAGGTGCACGGCGGGTGGTTCCGCATATCCTCTGAATTTCGTAAAAAGATAACAAGAAATATACGGATGGTAGGCAAATGACCATATGGAAATTCAGGGGTGGTGAGGACCGTGGCGAATGGGTCTGTTGAGGATACACGTTTCAACAATTTCCTTAACTATTCGGGAAGCGAAGAGTGGTCAAAACACGGTAGAATTATATTGTGATGTGTATGGTGATAAGCCATCAGCGCGGAAATAGCCAGGACTGACACAAATAATAGAGTAAAAAGCACAACTCGGGGTTCGGTGACTATTCGGGCCAATGATAGCGCACAAACACAATCGGGACTACAGTGGAATGTGGCTATTAAGTAAGAAGCTATATCGCTATGACACAAGTCGATTACATACAGAAGTCATAAGTTACACACAGGTACAAAAAACAGAATGACATACTCGAGGACTGTCTTTTGAAGGTGAACACATCAAACTCCCACCGATCGGCGCCGCAAATCTGCGATGGAGAGGAAAGGGTGAAAGAAAAAACTTAGAACAACGAACGATGCTTCAACATTCCAGGTGTGTAAACAAGTAATTAATCCAGCAAACGAGTGTCGTACGCATCGACCGCGAAAAAGCGGGCATCAGAAACGTCGACAATAGCATAATTTGCTGTGTTGGGGGAAAGAAGCGTAGGGTGAACAAAAGGGCAACCGCCAGTTACATTCAGTAGGTTATTGAAGCAACTACTTGGGGAAAACCCGTATACCGACGATTAACGGAAAGGACTACGGTGCAAAAGACGTAGTATTTCCAGGAAAATCCGCGGAACGGAAGTCAAGGTGAACAGAGTAACCTAAAAGGTTGGCTTATAGTGCTCCATCGCCTCAAACATGACCTGAGCACAAGGCACAGACTCATGGTTAACAGTAGTGTGAAGCCTCCGACCTTACAATGAAATTTGATCAGTAACATTGCGTCCCACACCGGTAAACCATATAGTGCTAGACTGCGGAAAAGCAAGTTACGAGCACAAAAAATGGTGTCAAAGCCAGATAAAAAGGGACAAGAATTCTATACGGGTCTACGTCTAATAACCATACGAGGATGGCATATGCACAGTCGCGAATGAACTTGAGCTTACAGCGGTGAACAGTTTCTTAAAGAGGTAAAATTGCGAAACCGAAAACATCCGATGGCCCAACGTAAGACGTGTGGGGTTTTCCACAGGGTCTCATTTATTCATGAAAAGAAACTTAAGCTAAGCACAAGTGATCCACTCAAAGAAACGATTAGAGACTGAGCATCCAAAAACTGGTACATTATCACCTGATGACTGTGATGAGACTGTCCAGTCAGAGGGAAAAGATGAGTCTATGGGACAAACCACATAGCCAGCGTGAGGTAAACCTGACAGATCCGATCAATGAACGTAGTACGCATGGTTGGTAAGCTTCTCGCCATCGGTTTAACGGAGTCGAAGAAGGAATCGCATTGGTACAAAAAACGTCGCGGTTAATAGAAGTGCAAGAACAGTATACACCCAGACGTTCTGTGGGCCAAGTGTGCTGAGACATTCGCTGACTAAAGCGGTTGTCCCCGAAGGACCGACTTTCGCGATAATGGCCAAATCCGCCAACGTGCCTCCACATGCCGAGAATCGCCCCCAGAAGCTCAATACCATATCGGTTGACTAGACAAGACTTCTCGCTATTAGGATTCACGGGCAATGGGACTTCATAAATAGCATGAAAAGGCCGTTATGCCCTAATAGTGCTGAAATCGAGAAAACCACATCCAGAGGGTTGCTTGTCCTGAATGACAGAGAGAAGGCGTGAGTTTCGCCAAGGTAGCAATCTATGACGCGGACACGCAGATGACACAGAAACTCAAGTCAGTGCTTATTGCGCTCGGAAAGCAGAGGACCACGTCGTATGGCTGTTTTGCACCGTCTAGGGTGGACTTCGAAAATGAGTTACAGCCCGGCATTTGTCACGGGGATCCTAGCATAGTTGCACCATCACCGCCCGAGTTTGCTGATCATGCACCGAAAGTGTCAGACTCCCACCAGGGCTAAGGAAAAAATTGCAGATACGAAATCGTAACTACTAATGAGGAAACAATCAATCAGTAAAGCTTTTGGGTGAAGTGGCCACGTAACATTGTTTTCGACGGAGTCTGTTGGGCAGGATGTTTCCGAGAAGTAGGAGATGGGATGCGTTGTACGCTCTTGTGAAAACAACCACATGGATGGCCTTAACCGTCAAATTCCGGGAATCATTTAAGAAGTATTACGCTCAGTATGCGTGGTGGAGACCACACTGTCTCACAAAACGTCGCGCCGGACACATCCGGTCCTCCGATTTAGCCAACCATGTTGCCAGGGAACGGTTACACGATTTGTTACTGGTGACAAAGCCATTAGTTGGCGATTAGCTCTGTCTTAGACATATTGTCACCAGGTCGCCGAATGCGTGATCGCCTTGGTGATACTGTTGTCTGGTGGTAATTACGCTACTCTGATAATCACCTTCGCTCCATTATCAAGTGGCAACTACACCCCCCCCCCCGACAACGAGGCCACCCGTGCTGCACATACCGTATTAGCTTTTGGTTTGAAGCATAAAAGCACTTCCGATGAAGGTCAATGTTTTCGCTCTCTCTCTCTCGGCGTCGAGAGTAGTCGTGCGGTGCCTGTGTTATATTTGGTACAGTGAGGTAAAACCGTTGACCGACTAAGTCACTCGGGGCGTGCCGATGAGAATTTGAGCAGTCACTTCACCGCGCGAGACACAGTCACAGGAAGCGAATCGTCGCTCCGACTAAGGAGATTATATCCAAGCGAAGACGTTAAAATAGTACGATGTTGGCTGATGGGAGGTAGGCCATTGGTTGCGTATAAAAACGATAAAATTCGTAGAGAATGTACAGCGAACTTACAAAGCTAAACCAAGTATCGGAACATGGAATGGATGTGCGAGTTAGCATCATCACCTGGTTCACGAGGTTCACAATGGTATGGGAGCATACCAAGGGAAGAGAACACGGCGGTTGAGTTCAGCGGCAAATCTCCCTACAAACGTGTTCAGTAGTCTCCAGTAACGCAATATGAGAATATGGCAAGATACACTCGGAGGAATAGTTGAAAATATCCGCAGCTCGGGATGCGGATTTTTCGTGGTTCTCAAAGTTGAATGGCTAGTCCGCAGACGTTTTGTTACCAGACTAGGCAATATCATCAGTGCGGCTTTAAGGACTTGGGTCGCAAGCTTCATAAGCGACTTCAAGATCCAAGTGTTTATTGATCGAGTTCTGCTTTGAATGCCAGGCTTCAATGAGCTTACGTGCTTGCCGGCTTTTTGCCCTTCCGAGGATTGTGGCGTGCTCCAGGTCGAACTGGTGGTTTTCGGCATCCATATATACAGACATCAGGGAGTTCTGATCGTGCTGACGAATGGCAAGGCTGTGTTCATGTAGCCTTGTGCCACGAGAAGCCGAATTTAACTTCGCAACAGAAAACAACTGGGAAGACGATGTGCGGATTACGAACCTATCCAAAGGAAGTTGTTCGAAAGCTGAAAAAGCAATGTCCGAGGTGGGTAAGTTAATGTCGAGGACTCCAATCCATCGACTTCCTCACTATACCGGAATCAACGTTGAAAACATACATCGCACCTGAAGCACAACAGGAGATCAGACACAGAATTCTCCCGGCTCTCGGTTATAAAGTTATGACCAATATATGCAGGGCCACTGAACAAAAACTCTGATGAGTCGCAAGAAAGACAAAAGCGTAGTTATACTACCGGCCGATAAGAGGTGCCTTACCGCTTTACTGGACAAGACTGATGATTTGATGAAAGCATAACCCTTGCTTAGCGATACCAACACATACCAGACGGTAAATGCAGAACCGAGAAGAGGTTCAGTAGATAATATCAAGCGCATTATTCTAAAACTAGAACAAATAGGACAACTCATAAAATTGGAACATAAAATGACGAAACTGCCAGATTTGGTCTACTAAAGTACACAAAAGCGGAGCACCTTTGTGCCCCATCGTATCGCATCCTGGAGAGCCAAACTACAGACTTGCAAAACAGCTCTGGAGACAGTTAAAACTTCAATTTACGAGATCGGAATGCTCGAATAAGTAGACAGAGCAGTTCCTTGGAAATCTTAAAACCACCATCATAGAATGGGACGAAAGAATGGTCTTTGATGTAACGGTGTTGTTTACAACAAATAATGTCAAGATGACGAAACGGACAGTCACCGCATCGCTCGATACAAGCAGCAAAATCAGCACCATACGATTGATGGAGTTGTTGGAACTCCCCCACAAGATACTACATTTTCAAAAGCCACACTTATAAACGGATTAGAGGCACATCAATGGGATCAGAAAGCTCTAGGTTGGTAGCCGAGGTGGTGATGCAGGCATTGGAACGGCCAAAACTCGCAACTGCGAAACCAAAACGTTGGGTACGCTACGCAGACGATATCGTCAACCTCAAGCGTTTCAAATTAGAAAAGACACACGATCAAATCAGGCGGGGTCTTTAAAATGGTCGTTACCTTGTCAATAGAACATGGTCTTACCTGCCGCGGATACAACAGATTTCACCAAATACTTTTGACACATTTTTTCGTCGACGGTTTGAAAATGAACTTTGAGATACCGTGCGTGCTACGCGAAGTTATCAAAAGGCGCTTTCGTTGCTTTAAGAATGATCGTCCCGATCGATATACTGGGCTCCGAGACTGTACATTCGACAGGAAACAAATACTAATAATCCACTGTAGAAAAGGAAATTATTACCTTTATATGTAGGATCGTTTATTGGGGTGACACCGGTACCATTACTTCTATCTATACAATCTGCATCTTGCTATTTTTGTCAACCCGCCGTATTTACTGTAAAATGTCGAAAATGCACCCAGTTAGGCACCTAAAGCCTTTACTGATTTTACTAATCAACAGTGTTCGATGGGAAAGGAAGAACAACGGACCGTTAGCATTCTTATATGATTTGGCGGCGTCCGTATCCGGATTTGCCTGTCACTGTGACGTCCATGGGGACAGTCACAGGACGCCTGTGCCTACAAAGGGACCATGGGTGGCTTGCGCTGCACCACCCATAGTTCCACCCGCACACCCCATATCCGGTGTAAACCCGAAGGAATAAGACCGGGAGGTATGCAGATGGGAGCCACGTTTCATCAACGGAGCCGGCCCACACTCCTTCAACAAGCAGAACGGAAGCATTCCGGCCTAATTGGGAAATCATACACACCAGACATCACGAGGCGGTGGCTGGACCGTAGCCTGTTCCACACAGGATGGAACCACTCTTTGAGCCTAGCACCGTCACGAGGACGGTGCACTCCGTCCCCTCTAGCGACGACCAACTGTCTCCTGGAGCCAGTATGGACGAGGTAGTGGATAATAGACAGGTAGGCACCTTGTCAACATTCACATCAGGCACATCCACAACGGGGAGCTCAAGAAAC